GAAAATAGTGTCAAAATTTTTTATAAAATATTTTTTTTAATTTATTTTAATTTTTATTTTAATTTTTAAGTTTAGATTTGTGTTAATAATCCTAATAATGTAAAGGATCTGCATTTAAATTTAATTTATCACGAATTCCTGAAAGGAATACGTATATGCATTCTATAAGTCGGTCTGTCGGTCGGTCTGTCTGTCGGTCTGTCTGTCCCACGAGGACATAGGTTCGAATCTACTATCCGCTACAAATTTTTTTTGAATTTTTTTTTTGAATTTTTTTGAATATTGATTTTTTATTTTTTTCGTTTTTAAGTTTATTTTTTAGGAAATAGTAGTTTATTTTGTAATACTTAATCATTTGATACCCCACATGACTATAGTTGTTTATTTTGTCATACTAAATCGTTTGATACCCTACATAACTATAGTTGATTTTATTTTATCATACTGAATTTAATTTTTAATTATGATTAGGAATTCGTGTGGAAATGCTTTCTAGCATTCTCAACTGGTTTATTTATTATATTTATTTATAATACTGTATACAATATTTACAATTATTTATGATTGCAGTACTTTATATATATGATATTATTTCTAATGTATTTTATTTACAATTATTTAAATAATTTATTGATTATAGACAATTAATTGTACTGTATAGTATTATTATTACTATTACAATTACTATTATTATTATTATTATATATACACAAATTATTAAGATCATTAACTTAATTACTTGAATAAAATATTCATTAATTATTAAATTAAAATATTGTATATAATTAATCTAATCAAATGTCTGATCAATTTAATAATATCTTATATATTAATAATACTATACTATATATTTAATAGTATATATATATACTGTATTTAATAGTTAGATAATATATAATAATAATAATTATTATTATTATTAACATAGGCCGGAATTCACACATACATATGCTATTTATTTATAATATATATATATATAAGATAACACATATTTAAAACAAATAGTATTAATTTTTTTACTACACAAACCTGGGTAACATTTTTATTGCAAACATCCTATGACTGATATTATTATTATTATTTTTATATAATTTATTTTAATTTTATATAAAATTTAGTAATTTATAGATTTTTGCAGTTTTTTTCCTCACTAAATACTACTATAATTTAGAGATAATTATTACAATAATTATGATAAACAAAACATGGTATTTTTTTGTAATTAAAAAAATGTAAAATAACAGTAAAAATTATTTATTATTAATATTAGGATATTAAAAATTGGACAATAGTTTTTATTTTTCTATTAATTAGTAATATTATAATTTATATTTAATTTTATTTTTTTTAAATATAAATCATCCAAAAATTATTTGTATGTATAAACTGATATTTCAATGACTTTCAAAAAATAGATTCCACTAATGATAATACACTGAAAAAATATATAAAAAAATAATAATTAAAATAAAATTATAATTATTATTATTTAAAAAATGTATTTTTTATTATAAATTTAGTATACCCTACCTGAAAAATTAGATAATCATCAACAATACAAAATGCGCCAAAATAAAATGCCACACGTTTTGTAGCAACTTGTTCAATAAATGATGCTAGCTACAAATAATATTTTTTTAAAAAAAACTAAAATTAAGTTTTAAAAATTAATAAATTTCTAATATATAAATATATTCCTTAAATCTTAATATCATAGTCAGTGACCATTTATCGTAAATAATATACAAATTATTTAGCAATTTATAGGCACTGAATACGTTTTTATAGATTATGGCAGCCATTTCCATTATGACCATGGTAAATAATGCACAGAGATACGTAGACATTATTAGCAATAGCTTAACCATTAGGCTATTACCCTGGCCATACAGGGAATGGTAGAAAAATAATATGACAAACGAACCCATAAAACTTATGGTAATCAACAAAAACCGGGACCAATACTCTCGATTGTAGCGTAAAATTTCTTCATAAACCCGGTCCATGTCTTTCAATAGATACATAATCATTGAAAACTTATGGGTTTTATATGCAATACGATCGCGTAGTTCACCGTTTAGATGGCGTAACTTGTATTTCAAATATGTACATATAAAACAAAAATATACTAGCTGATTTAGATATTGATTAATAGAATATAGAACGCTTAGCATAAATAATAATGACCATGGTAAACCAAATACTAATAGTTCCCCAGGGGTGTATGCAGCTATTAACGGTACAAATGAAAATGTAAAACATAAGATCAATACAAATATACGATACACGGCTATAAATTTTACTCCATAACTAAATAGTTGGACCAATTTTTTGATAGTTTCTGGTTGAATAAATTTAGCAATATCACTGGGACAATTTTGTTTGGATATTAGAGCTATCAGATTTAAAAAAACAATAGATTTAATTTTATTATTATTTTTTGTTAGAATATACTTGATTTAATACAAAGTCTATGAAAATAAGTAAATTAAATAAAAAAAATGTTTTTTGCTTTATATTAAAAATATTTATATATATATATAATTACCAAATATATTTAAGTAGCTAGGTGGTTTATTGTTAATATAATCGAAAATATTAAATAATTGTAGTATTGTTTGCGATGATAGAAATACAATGATTGCCGGATTAATATGATGTTGGGCATTTATAATATAACAAAAATCACCCAGTACTACATGATAGTATGGATGTTTGTGGTCATCAATTAGCAGGCATACAATATTATGTACAATCATTAGCAAATAGACTGTCATTATAAGCACCGGGTTATACCATAGGGATCGACGACGACTACTACTACTACTACTACTGTTCCCCTGGTTATAGGGAAACAATGATAGACCGCATAAATACAAGTGATTACCGGCCGATTGGATCTCATTATTATTATTGTTATTATTGTCTATAAATATACGATTTTGTTGCTGATGTTGTTGTTGTAGAAAATTATTTATTATTAAAACTGGTCTATGGATTTTGTTGTTTGACCCATTTATTTCAGCTAGATTAGTTTCAATAAGTTGCTTGAAACGTTTATGTTTGTTATTAATATTTCTATTATTATTTGACTGAATATTGTTAACTATAGTAACTTGTTGTTGTTGACTATCGTATAAATTGTAGCTAGCTAATTTAGTTATTTGAATCATTATGATTTTTTTATTAAAAATAATTATTATCTATTATATATTAATTTTTATTAAATATAATTTATAAATTAAACTAGTTTAGATAATATTTTTTTAACAATAAAATAACTATATATTTATTAGCTATTGAATTATATTTATACTTTAAATTAAGTATTAATATAATTATTACAATGAATTATTAGAAATAGCAGATTAAAAATAATAAAATTTTTTATTTTTGTATTTTTTGTATTTTAGTTTATATTTATTATATCTAAGTTAGATTGTGATATCAAAAAATTATAATTATAACTTATAATATAATTTATAAGATTAATTATCTATATATTTATAATATATAAATATATTATTAGATAGTATTTTATTTATTATCTTTATTTATTATCTTTATTTATTATCTTTATTTATAAATTTTTACAATAATTTTATAATTATTATTATTATTATTATAATTTATTATTAATAGTTTATAGATAATCTTATTTTTGTATTGTATTGTAGTTTATTATATTGTATTTATAGGTAATTTAAGTACCTGTAAATGTATAAATAATTTCGTAATTTATTATATTATAAAACAAGTTTATTTTTGTCACTATTGCCTGTATTAAAATCATTAATTTTACAAAAAAATTATTTATTATATATTATTAATAAATTATCATAGATTTAGATATTATTATATTATTTAACATACATTCAACATTACTTGTATACTATTGCAACTTAATTTTACTTTTTTAGATTTAGGATAGTATTAGTATTTTAGTTTATATTTTAGTTATTATTATATACGGTATATCAGGTTAAATGGTTTGGTTTATTATAAATGCTATTAATTTTCATATCTATTGTACAATTCATACAAAAGTATCTAAAAATAAATGTATTATTTAATATATTAATTATATTATTATTATTATTTGTATATTTTTATACAATTTAGAAAAAGTAAAAAATCTAAACTTTTTAAATGAAAAAATAAATAAATAAAAATATTATTATTTTTTTAAATGTTGCAAGTTGATTTATTAATTTATTTTTCTAAATAATATTTATGATAGTATTTTGAATAATATTTATCTAATTTTCATAATTAATCAAATTATTATTTTATTTTTAAAAGTTTATCATTTATTATAAATAATAACATTAATGTTTTTAGTAAAGTATGAATAAATTTTTAATATTTATACTGTATATATATATCATAATATGATCATTATCACATCATATTATCATATATAACTATTTTATTATTATAATATAATATATAACTTAATTAACAATCAATATATATTATTTATTCAAGTATGATGATTTATATTTTTTTATATTTTAATATTTTATTTTTTTTTTTAAAATACTATATCATAAACAGTATATTGTAATACAGTTTTTTTTAATATAAATAATATGTTAAATAAAAACAAAATTAAATAATAAACTATAAATATTTTAAATAAAAATCAATTACACATTTAATCATATCTAAAAAAATTATTTTATTTTATTAGCACACAGATACACATACAATTATTGATTTTTTATAAACTTTATATAAATTTTATATATATATACCAATCAAAAAATCAATAATAATAATAATCAAAAATTATTATTTAGATAATTATATAGACTATTATAATAATAATAATAATAATAATAATCAAAAATTATTATTTAGATAATTATATTCACTATTATAATAATAATGATTTTTAAAACTAAAACTCTACAAAAAATATTTTTATAATTACAGTATTTTTATTAACATTTTAGTAAAACATTTTTATGTTTTTTTAAAAAATAAATTTTAGTGATTTAATTGATTTGATCAGATCGTGATAACTTAACCCGAGTACCGACAATCAGTACGGGATTGTTGACCACTAGTTTCAATCGGGATTTATATGTGATAACCAATTCATTTAGTTGTCGACAACTGTTGCCAACAGTTTGCCAAACGGTTAGTATTGATAGGCCAAACCATAGCGAGAAAATACTGGCCAAATAGCACCCGAACTCTTCCAGTTGTAGTTTAGCCGAATGTAGGACCAGTAGGTCGGGTAGATCGGGAGGAAAGACATCCATAACAAACATGGTTTCCGATTTGTTTAGAAATTTTGTTTCAAAAAAAGTATAATAACTTTTTCGGCAATCCTGTTGTTGGCCGCACTGGTGTCGACACTTACGGCCAATCTATTTATATATATATATATATATAAATATTAAATATACCGGTAATTATTGTATATTTATTATTATTATTATTAAATAATAATTAAAAGATTTAATTATTAATTGTATATTTTTTCTAACTAATACTATAATTGAATAGTTAGTGTTAAATGTATTAATAGTTTTTTAAAAAAATAAATATTTTTTTTACAATAGTTGGACCAAAAAAAATAATATAATGATTAACTATAAAATAATAATAATTATAATTAATAATAAATGTTTTAAACTTTATTATAATATAATCTATAACTGTATACTACTGTAGAGTACATACCGTCAAATCAGCACTTGTATTGTCGCCCATTAGTTCAATAACATTAATAATCATAGTATGATTATCATTAGCAGCACCTGTATCCGATTCATCTATCAAAAAATTTCCCGGCCATTGGCCACCCAGAAAATCTGGCCGCTTTCGGAGTTCATGTATTTTGCATTGAATCAGACAATCCAAATACGATCGATATACCCGTCCTCCCCGTCCTCCTACTCCCGACCTATCACTGCCCATGTGATTGTCCACACACTGGGTTTCATAGGGCCAGGGCATCAGTTGGACACGTGTTTTATGATATTTTATACACGATTTTGTCCGCCGACGGTAGTCAACGGTAATCATATTGTAGTCCCACGAGTCGTATATCCGACGATCGCCCGAATGTATAAACAAATTAACTGACGGTATGTTGTTTTTTGCCAATATTTTCAGATTCATAATTTCCAGCCAATAGTTTTGAATAGTTGTATCGAAATCGATAGTAAAACGCCGGTTCCCACTATAGCTATGATTATTGACAACTGTCCTCAAGCTATCGGTGTTTTGCGAAAATATAGTAAAACATTGATTAAAATAGTCGACCGACCGTCTGATTGGTCCAACCAATCGACACGGTATGTAATCGCCTGTAGTATTATTGTTATTATTAGCGGTAAACAGCATCGGCCTAATAACCCAACAGTCCTCGCCAAACACATGATCCGCTGTATACATAGCCTTAAACTGATCCCTAATCGACAAACTGTTAATATAGTCGACTATCTGTTTGTAAAATTGGTCGTCCCTTTGCTGTCCCTTATCATTGCCGGTGGTGGTGGTGGTGTTGGTGGTGCCGACTGCTACCTGTATGAGCTCCGGTAGTAATAAATATTTTTTGTTAATACATATGGTTATTGCTGGCAGTAAAATACTGCTAACCATTGTATCGTATTTGACAATAGTTGTTGTCGGATATTGAAAGTATATGTCGCTTATGTAGTATACCTGTAGTAAACAGCCGACCAAACATCCCAGTCCTACCAATAGATGATATAGTTTTGTTGGTGTAATTGTTAGCAACTTTTGGTCACTAATTTTATTATTATTATTATTATTATTATTACTACTACTATTAGTAGTATTTTTATTATTATTATAATAATGTTTAGTAAAGTTATAAAAATTTCTCATTTTATAGTATATATTGTGTTAATTAATAATTTTTTTTGACTTTTTATAATAATAAACATAATATTTTTTAAACAAAATATTATTATTATTTAACTTAGATAACAAATATTAATGTTATTGCAATTATTGATACTTTTTATAATTACTAAATTATTAATTATTTAATTAATAACTTATTTTTTATTATATTGAAGTAAACAATAGTACACACACACAAACAAAATAATTAAATAATAATAATAAATCAATTAATAACTGTGTAACATAATTATTACAATTGTTAATTAAAAATGTTTACAATTAATTATTATTATTTTTTTGTAAACAACAAAATGTTTTTATTTGATAAGAAAAATGATTTTATTTTGTTGTTGTATTGATTATATTATAGTCAGTAAGATTTTATTTATACATAAAATAATTATTTTTTAAAAACTAGTTAATCAATATTTTATTATATTTTATTAATGCATTTTATTAGGCAATATATTTTTTTGAGATTTAAAAAAAAATATTTGATTTAAATAATTTATATTTTTTTAAATTTATAAACAAAACGATTAATAAATTTTAATGAGACATAAATTATATACAGTATAAATAAAGTAAACTTAATGCATGTAATAACTAATAAAATAAAAATATTATTTATCAATATTTTATAATTTATTTGGGAAAAAAAGTTTTGTATGAAAATATAACATATAAATAATTTTTTTATATAAATATATTATTAATATTTTGATATATTATGACTTATATTATATTTTTCCAATAAATAATATATATATATATAATAAATTTTAATAATAGGTTCAAATATATATCTATTTCAAATTATCTATCATATATATAGTTAAAAATGTTTTTTTTACAAACAGTATATATTTATAAATCTTGGATTTATGAAATAATTTATTTTAATTTTGATTTTTGATTAGAAAATTATATGTATGAAAAAAATTATATATAACTTAGCAACCATACAAAAAAAATCAATTATTTTAATTATTATTTACTGTATATGTTTTTTATAAACAACATAAATTTTTTATTATAATGTGTGCAAGTTTATTTTATTTTTAAAATACAACAAAAAATTAAATAATATTATAATTTGTTTTCTATTGTATAATATTTGACAAATTAATTATTGTTTTTATAGTTATATATACAGTATAACAAAATTTTCGATAAATCAATAGTAAAATATATTGCAAATTGATATATTTTTTTAAAAAAAGATATTGTATTTGTATAAAAAACATAATTATTAGTTTTTTAGCTCTAAATTAATAAATTATTTTATGTTTTTTAAAGATAAATTTTACACCAAACTAAACAATAAATACTCACTTATACAGTATATATTAATTATGAGAGTATATATATATATAATGTAATGTAAATTAATGTTAAAAATTATAATTGTCTTGTTTATTGAATACAATTTAATATAAATATAATTTATAATCATAATTATAAATTAAAATTGTAATTATTTAATTACTTGAAAATAATATATATATTTATTTATTTATTTTCTAAATAATTTAGAAATTGTAAAATTACTAAAAAAAATTACTTTTTTAAATTAATTATAATATTTTAATTATTGATGATCTTCCATATATTCTAAATATAATGCAATTAAAATTTTTATATATTATAGTTATAAAATTACTTAATTTATTAGTTACAGTTTGTAATTATTTTATTAATTTATTTATTTTTGTGTAAACTATTATATAGTGTATAAAAAAGGCTATTTTATATCATATATTTTTATTTAATTAAAAATTAGTGGGTGGTTTGGTTAATAATCATAAATGTTTTATAATATAATATATTTTTAAATCAATTTTTTAATAGGTTTGTATTATTTTTTAATTATTAGAGTATATATATATATATACAGTATATAAATGTAATGTAAATTAATTAATGTTAAAAAATTATTATTGTCTTGTTTATTGAATAAAATTTAATATATAAATATAAATAATCATAATTATATTATTATTATTATTATTATTATTATTATAAATAAAAATGTAATTGTTTAATTATTTACCGTATATAAATTTAAAAATGTAAAATAACTAAAATTAACTTTTTTTAAACACTACCAATATTTTAAATAATGCGACTTCCAAATATTCTATATATTAAGTAATTAAAATTTTTATATATTATAGTTATAAATATAGTTAATTTATTAGTTACAGTTTGTAATTATTTTATTTTTTTTCATAAAATATTATATAGTGTAAAATAAAGGATATTTTATATCATATATTATTATTTAATTAAAAATTAGTGGATGGGGGTTTTGGTTAATAATAATAATTGTTTTATAATATAATATTTTTTTAAATCAATTTTTTTAATAGGTTTGTATTATTTTTTAATATTGAGAATAAAACAGTATATAAATGTAATGTAAAATTAATTAATTTAAAAAATTATTATTGTCTTGTTTATTGAATACAATTTAATATATAAATATAAATAATTATATTATTATTATTATAAATAAAAATGTAATTGTTTAATTATTTGAAAATAATATATATATAATAAATATATATAATAAATAAAAGTTACTTTTTTTTAAACTACTTATATTTTTAATTAATTATAATATTTTAAATAACGATAAACTATATATTAAATAATTTAAATTTTTATATAATATAGTTATAAATATAGTTAATTTATTAGTTACAGTTTGTAATTATTTTGTAAGTGTTATTATTTAATTAAAAATTAGTGGGTGTGGGTGGGTAGGGGTTTGGTTAATAATAATAATTGTTTATATGTAATCATGATATAATTTTTTTTTAATAGGTTTGTATTAAAATTACCGAATAGGACAGTATAAGTGCCATACATGTTAGGAAAGTATAGCTATTGACGGGAAACAGTTGACGAAAAGTTAGACACATATCGGGTCGCATGTCTTTCATGTGATTCAATATCAGGCGAACCCATATAAGATTGATGGTTACCGTTGTTGTTGTTGGTGGTGGTGGTAGTGGTGGTATGGGTGTCGTCACCATTGCTTGTGTTGTCATCAGCTTAGTTATCATTAATGTTGTCGACGGTGTCGGTATTGTTATCCCAAAATCATTGAACATATATTCAGTAAATCGGTGGTCGATTTGGTCGCAAAATTCCCGATAGGTATTGGGTATGATATCCGAAGTCAAACATATGGCCAGTATTATCAACAACGATCCGATTAGACCAATGATAGCATTGGGATTGCGGGTACGGTTGCTATCAATGGACAGAAAACATGTAAACGATATGGAAATCAGTGAACAAAGGGACAGTTGTATGGCATTATAGACAGAAATTTGTCGATCAAATTGTTTGACCAGTGCTTGCAATCGACAAACTGATCGATAGGTTTGTTTCAAGTTTGTCCTAATAGACAATTGACTGGACATTTCCATCAATTGCTTACGTACCGTACAGCTCAGGTAGGCTATCAACGATATGGGCAATAGTTGCGAGTTTGTAATTGCAAAAAATGAAAGGGTAGGCATCAGCATAAAACCGGAGAAGCGATTATCGCATACCATATGAATGGCAGTGTGTACCAGGTGAAAAGCTAGGGCTAATGATAGATGTAGACCAGCTATCCATATACCGGTGCGCTTCTCATACCCGGCTGTAACAGCTTGTAGGTGAAGCTCCGACTGGCGTAACAGCTCAAGTAGGCGATGACCTCTGAAGGCAATGAACAGGCATATGATAAGCGACTGGGAGGCATAGCTAACACCCCGTACACCGTTGAGCACACGTAGCAATAGTTTTCTGGACGACCCGTTTTTATCACCACCGGTCCCATTAGTTGACTGTCCATCGGGTGTCGACATCCTGTCATCAGCCGCTTCTGGTTTCATATAAAAATGATTACTATCGGGTCGTTCATCCATTTCGTGGCCACCATTTGCTTGTTGTTGTTGTGTTGGTTGTGTTGGTGGTGGTGGTCGGGGTGGATGACCACCATAGACTACAATTGACAATTCAATATAACAATGTTTGGCTACCAGTGCCAATAGCATAATGTTCCATAGGATTAATAATGATTTAATTTTTGAAAATTTCATTGATTTTTCATCATTATCGACACTTGAACCCAAATAGGTGTGTCCAGTAATACGATGATAAGCTATCAGACATTTAAGGCCAAACATACTGTTTGTTTGTTGGTTGTTTAGTATATATACCTGTCCTAGGATTTCGTTCAATTCAATAGATTTAGTATATTTTAGTCAATTTACGTTTTATTAGTTTTATTTCTATAGACAAATAAATAATACAATTATTTTACAGTATATTTTGTTTGTTAAAGACAATAATAAAAGTGTAATATTTATTAAAAAATAAATCAATATATAAATTGATTTATTTTTATATATTGAATATACTGTATACATAAGATTTATTTATATATATATAATATACTAATATTTTTATTTAAATTAATTGTACTTGTTGCATATTATGCAAATAGAAAAGTAATTTATTTTTTGAATATTATATATAAAAAAAATTTATTAAAAAAACATTAAAACAAACAACTAATTACTATAATGTATTTATATTGTAAACACTAATATTGTAAATATTATTTAAATATATATCATAAAATGTTTCAAGTATTATAATATATTTTCATATTTATATATTGTATATATATATATATAAATAATAAAATACAAACAAATTGTTTATTTTATTTTTGTAATTAGCAAGTAAAATAAATGCAGTACTGTATACTGTATGTAAATTACATGAAAAATGATAATATTGATATGATTAATTTTACTTATATATAAAAAAATATTGTATTATATTATTAATAATATTAATTTTTTATCTAATTAATTTAATTAAATTAAAATTAATTAATACTGTTTAGTTGATTAAATAAAATAATAATAATAAACAACAACAACAACAAACTAAACTATTTTTTTGATAATATTTCATGTATACTAGCAAACTGTTTGGACCATTCATGTTGAAATTGGCTCAGGTAGGCATACTTGTCGGGCAATTGTTCAGCATTAACGCCCAGTTCCCCGTAGTGTTTGGCCAGCGACCAGTTCATAGCCTGGTTGATGGCTGCAAAAACACTATCAAAAAAGCCAACCAAACCGTCTTCAAGTTGTTTGCTAATCAATGGACCGATTGAATTGACGGCCATTGTTAGCAAATTTTTTATATCAGCCGATACCGGCTCCAGGCCATCATCATCGCTAGCGTCCGTTTGGCCACCGAGTTTCGGGTCGAAAATTTTGTCAATCGACTGGGACAGCTGACCGAGTGCCTGGACTACCGAATCCAATCGTTGGCCATAGACTTCGGGTCCGTGATCGCTGTGCAGTCGACGATGATAGTCGACAACCCATTGCCAAGTGTCCACCAGTTCGCCGATATTATGGCGTACAATATAGTCAAAGTGTTGGCTATCGGTGCCAGCCTTCAGGAACACTTGGTTCATATCGTTGCTAAACTGGTTGACCTGTTTGCCGATTAGGACGTTAACAAAACCGAAACCAGCTTTATTAATTAGTTCGCCTATGTCGATGGCCGGGTAGCTACTATCGACATCGGCATTAATACCAGTGGTGGGTGCTGCATTACCTGGATATATATTTTATTAAAAATAAATAAAATTTAAAAAATTAGTAATGTTTTATTTAATAAATCTATTTATTATGCTATCTAATTATTATTATATATTATAATTTAAGTTTTAATAATAATAATAATATACTTAATAAATTAATTTTTATCAAATTATTATTATTATTATTGTTATATATTATAATTTAAGTTTTAGTAATAATTATAATTATAATAATATACTTACAATTAGCATAATATAAAATTATGATTAAACTAATAAGTAGTTTGTTTGGCAATACTAATGATAATATTTGCATTTTTAAAAAAAATAGTTTTAACTGTAATATAATATAACTTATAAAATAATAATATTATTTGTAAGTTATCCTGGATTAGTTTTAATTTATAAGTACCTAATTTGTGCTGTATTTATATAAATTTTCAATATACAGTGCATTAATATACACTGTATATACAGTATACTATATGTTGACAAAAATATTTAAATAATTTTTAATGATAAATCAATAAATAATCATTTTTAAATAATCATTTAAAAATTTTTAATGACTTAAAAATATTTTTTTAATTAATTTATTTTTTTTCTAAAAAACCGTGCAATACTAATAATTTTACAATTTTTTAAAATATAATTATTAGTTAAATTATTATATTATATAGATTTTTATTATAATTATTATTATTGATAAAGTTATTTTTTTATTTAATAATTATTTAGCTAATTAACACAAAATTGTAATTAAAATTTATTACAATTTAGATTGAAATTAGTTTATAATTATTTTTTTAATGGGATTTAAATGTTATTAAAATGATATTTACTGTATACAGTGTAATGACTATACTAAAAAAATATAAATATAAAAAATAAAATCATTTAGTAATTTGTAATCAACACAACAAACAAACAAATATTTTTTTATGAAAAAAATTCCACTAATTTTTTTGTTTGTTTGGATTAAAAAAATTTTTTTATTAATTTATTTTATCTGAAATACTATCATTAAAAATTTTTTAAAAATTTTACAATAATAATTTTTTTTAAAATCAAATATTAGAATCAAATTTATAACATTTTTTATTATTAATTATTTTAATTAATACAATTAGAGAGAGAATAAAAAAAACAAAACAAATAACAAGAATAAAATAAAAATATTATTTAATAAATAAATCAAATTAATTAATAATTATTTAGTTTATTATTATTATTATTAATATTAAAATTATTAATAAAATTATTAATTTTTTTTGCATAAATGATATGATATATACTGTTTGCATATATATATATATATATATATATTTACCGGTATATACAATACACATCAACAACACCACCCCTACCCCCACCCACACCCACTTTTTTTTATGAATATTTAGTACAAAATTTTCCTAAATCGTCCTGCAATTCGCACCGATCGCTGCAACAGTCCTTATCTTTTTTACACTTAAGTCCGTTTGGCCTACATTTAGGGCGATCCTGGTTAGCACAGTAGCCCCAATCATCTTTGGGATTGTTATCAAATTTTTTGTCGTCCCATTTCTTGCATTTACCCGATTCGCAATGTTTGTTATCCTCGCAGCCGGTACCGTCGGGCATTTTGTAGCCCAATTTGCCCCAACATACCGGTGCCTCCCATAGCACTAGTAGTACAAGTAGTAGACATAAATAGATGATATCCACAGATATGTGATGGTGCTGATGGTGGCCAATGTTTAGTTGTCTCATAATTATTTCCACTAATTTTTTTTTATATAATAAATAGTTATTTTTGTTGTATTATTATTATAATGTATAAACAGTACAGTATATTAAAAAATATATATATATATTAAATGGCTATTTGTATATTAATATTTTTTAATAATTTTTAATTAATTAATATTTTTGTTTTTTTTAATTAAATTCTTAAGTGTTATTTTCTAATGAAATGTGTGTGTGTTTTTAAAAAAAAATTAATTTATTATTATTTGATATCTGTATATAATAGTTTTACATAACATTTTCAATATACAGTATACTGTATTTCTATTATAAATTGTTTTTCAAAAGTTTATAAATAAATTGAATTAATTACTGTAGAAAAAAAAGATTTTTTATTTATTCAAAATACTATTTATATATTATAATGTTTTAGTTTAATTATTCATTTTAAATTTATAAAAGTTAGATATTATTATAAACAATTAATTTTTCAAAAAAAATAAATAAATAAATAGTTTTATAAAATCAAATCAAATATTTAATTATAATTTAATTATTATTATTCTTATTAATATAAAAAAATTAAATATGATTATATATACAATAATTATAAATAAGTATTTAATTAATTGAATAAATATATACTGTATATATATAATAATAATAATAATAAATTACAATAATTGACTTTTATATTGTTTATATATATATATATATATATGTAATTTACGTGAATGTGATCATCCCACCCGCACCCACCCCACCCTAATTGTTTTTGATTCAGGCATATTGTGTACAATATTTCCATACCGACTGTCCGGCCAGTTCACACCTATCGCTACAACAGTCCTTATCTTTTTTACAGGTAATACTGTTTGGCTTACATTTTGGCCGATCCTGGTTAGCACAATAACCCCGATGATCATCGTTAGGGTTGTCGCCAAATTTTTTTGTATCCCAGTCCTTACACTGACCCGATTCGCAATATTTGTCACTAGAACAGGCCACACCGTCGGCCATTTTGTAGCCTAATTTACCGAAACATACCGGTGCCTCAAGCACTAGTAGTAGTAGTACAAGTAGCAGTAGTGGACATACATAGATACCCGTGTGGTGGCGACCAGTGTTTAATTGTTTCATAATTGATCTCTTTATAATAAAATCTTAAATAAAATAGTTATAAAATATTTACTTATTTTTTTGTGTATAAAATATTATTAATAGTATTATATATTTAAAAATTAACAATTAATTGAATGGCTGCTGTATTTTTAATATTATTTGTTTGTAGTTTTTAATTTATTAATTAAAAAGTTATTTTCTATATAAAAAAATAAAATATGTTATACTGTAGTCTAAAAGAAAAATTGTTTTCACAACAAAAATATTTAATTTAATTATTTGATTATATTAAATTAAAATAACATTTTTTTAGAAAACAAAATATTTATGAAAATTATGTTATTTAATAATTTTTTATTTTATTTTTTTTATTTAAAATAACAATGATTTAGTTAAGTTATTAGTTTATTTAAATATTAAAAAAATATAATATTGAAATAATTATAAACAAACAAAAAATTTTGTAGAAAATAAAATAAAACATTTAATTAACAAATAAATATTTATAGTAATGTTTTTTTTAATTATTATTAATATATTTCTGAAAAAAATAATTTTTACAACAAATACTATTATATAGTATATGATAAATATAATGAAAATTTTATATATTTATAGTGTATTATATAAATAATTTCATTTTTAATTTATAAATCCTATAATTTTTAATTTATAAATCCTATAATTTTTTATTTATAAATCCTATGATTTTTAATATATTTAACTTCTAATCATTTTTTTTACTAAAACCCCAGTGTTTTCTCAGATTATTAATTTGTATTTTTTGTTATTTATTATTTTATTATCAATATTATCAATATAAAGGTAATATCATGTATTAATTCATATGAAAAATAAAATGCTGAAACTAAAAAAAAATAAAATAAAATTGTTACCAACCAGGTAATTGTTTATATCAACAAAAAAATAAAATAAATTTAATATCCAAAAATTTATTAGCATTATAATAAATCATTACAAAAATGATAATCTCATTATTATTATGTATTATAAGATTATTTATAATTATTATATGAAATACTTAAGAAAATTATATCTTATATACAGTTAATACCAGAAATTTGATTTAAAAAAATAAATATTTTTCATTTTAGTTACTAACTGTTAATTTAAATAAATATTTAATTTAAAATATTTATTTTTCCTGAAAAATTAATAATATAAATAGTATATTAGATTAAATCTAAAATATATTAATTAATTATTTTTTTCAGTAAACTTATTTTTTTACAATTATTTATAAATTACTGTTAAATTATAATTTCCTAAATATAATGAAATAGTTAATAACTATAGTCTATAGTACAGTACAGATACAATGTATAATAAATTACAATTAAGTCATAAAAAATAATTATCAACACTTAAAACATAAATTGATAACAAATTTTTTTATTATTTGCTATATAAGAAACTCTAAGTAAATTTGTAAGATTTATCTTTTTTTAAAAAAATAAGATGAAAATATAATAAACAAAAAAAAAAATTTTTTAGTTACAATAACCTTAACAGTGAATTCAATAACATTTGAATTATTATATTTAATTAAAATATTCAACAAAAAATAAAATAATTATGAAATTGTTGTCAACTATTGGCATAATTTTTTTATTTTCATTAGTTTTTTGTCACACAATTGAAGGTAATGTAAAAAAAATAATTTTATTTTGTTGTTTATAAATAATTATTATTTAAATAAATAAATGTTTAACAAAAAATTAAATACCTGTCCTCTCTATTCTACCTAATCTAATCCAACCCATCCATACCTACCATTCCTATCTAGAGTTCAGATGTGGCGATAGTTTCAAACAAGTCGGCGACCAAAAGTGTTACAAAGATTTTGCCGACAAACAAGCGGACAACGATGAAACCGTGACCCTATGTTCGGGTGCCGAACTAACCAATCAATATCATCCGACACTGTTGACCATACGATCCAAGACACAACAACGCCAGGTGCTCAGCTATTTGAGCGGCCGGGCGGGTAGGGTATGGTTGGGCGCCCGACTAAACAACCAAACAGGACGTTTTGAGTGGACAGCTGATGGTACGCCACTGGTCTACGCCAATTGGGCACCCAATAGCCCGACAAATGGGTCGTCGACTAACGACTGTGTAGTGTTGGACACCAAAACTGGCCACTGGCTGGATGTTGGCTGTGCTTCAAAGGCACAGGTAGTTTGCGAAAAAACCATATTCATGACTTTTCCGGAGTTGCAGTTAATGTTTTTCGAGCTCCGGGAGCTACTCGAATATAAAAGTCAGCAGCTCAGGGATGCACTACAGGCCAAGGATCGCCTAATCGGACAGTTAGCCAAATCGATGGATGCCGTCAACCATAAGCTGGAATCGGTTAGCAACCAGATCGACGATTTTAGCGACCATTTTGCCGGTTATGTTAACAAATCGCTGGATAGGCTTAAGGGCGACAATCAGGAGCTCAGCGGCGATATACTCGACCTGAAAGACATTACCGACCGTTTAACCGACGGTTTGCTTGCACTGCACGATGAATGCAGCGCCGGCTGTGGCGGTGGCGGCGGCGGTGTTACCTCTAAGGACTTGGAAGCCCTGCGAAAGGAACTGCTCGCTAAACTGACCGAAAAGTTTGACCCGTTGTCCGCCAAAGTTGCCGATTTGGTCGAAGACGTCAAACTGGAAATCGTGTCCTATCGTCGGACTTTGCGTATGAAAAAGGGCGGCAAATGGCATGATTTAGGACATGTCTGAGTGAGTGGCACCGGGAGGTCCTGCACTATAGTATGGTGGGAGGGGAACGGGGGTTTCAATATATAAAAAAGTGTACTTAAAATTTGATAAATAATCTGAAATTTTTTTTTGATTGTTTGTTTGTATGATTTATTGCATTTAATAAGAAAACTATTTATAATCTAAAGTATATTAACTTTAATAAACATTTTTTATAACTATTTATTGTATTGTATTTTAACTTTTATTTTATTTTTATTGCATTATATCTACTCTCTCTCTCTCTCTCTCTCTCTCTCTCTCTCTCTCTCTCTCTCTCTCTCTCTCACTCTCTCTATAAATATGATATTAAAATCAGTGATTTATTATTATTATTTAATTTTTATTATTAGATAATTTTTTATAGGTTTGTTTGTGATTTTTGTATTTATTTTGTTTTTTAATAGTATTTATTATTTACTGAGAAATAATAATAACAATTTTTATTATCCCAATTAAAAAAAAAAAATTATATTACAACTATTATTTATACAACAATTTATATATTATTTACTTATTTTTAAGTTAAAATTAAAAGTTATTTTTTTAAATATTATTTCTAATACTCTTTTGTTTTAGTTAAATTAAAATATTTTCATATTAATTAAATATTGTTTTTAATTTTTTTTAAAAATTAATTATATTAAGTACTGTAGTATGTTTCTTTCTCACTCTATTAACAAATTCAACATGTACAATTTATACATAAATAAAATATGTCTATATTAATAAATTACAGTTTATTAATATATTCAATATATTATGTATTTTAATAAATTATTAGTTAATTAATAATATTTGTTTTTTATTTGTAAAGATTTATAGAAAAATAAATAAATATTTATTAAGTTGTTTATTATAATTAATATTACAATAATAATATTATTAATTCAATAAATTTTTTATTATTCCAATTAAAAATTATATTACAACTATTATTTATATAACAATTTATTATTATTTACTTATTTCTAAGTTAAAATTAAAAGTTAATTTTTTTAAAATATAAATATAATTTTTAAATACTGAGTTGTTTTAGTTAGATTAAAAATTTTTTATATAAATTAAATATTTTTTAAAAATTATTACATTAAGTACTGTAATATATTTCTTTCTCACTCTATTAACAAAATCAACATGTACAATTTATACATAAATAAAATATGTCTATATTAATAAATTACAGTTTATTAATATATTCAATATATTATGTATTTTAATAAATTATTAGTTAATTAATTATATTTGTTTTTTTTATTTGTAAAGATTTATAGAAAAATAAATAAATATTTAGTAAGTTGTTTATTATAATTAATATTAATTAATATTAATAATATTAATAATATTAATAATATTAATAATATTAATAATATTAATAATATTAATAATATTAATAATTCAATAAATGTTTAATTATTATGCTAAATTAACAAAATTATTATTTAAAAAAATAATGATTTATTAATCCCTTTTTAAAAATTATTAATTATTAATTATTTGTTATTGATAACTTACAGTTTATATATATAATTACAAGTTTGTAAAACTAAAATTAATATAAACAAATAATAATAATAATAATTTTATAGTTAATTTAATAACAATTGGGTTTTTAGTATAGATATAATTTTTTTTTTAAAATTATTTTGTTATAATAATAATTACTATTATTATTATTATTAGTCATATATACTAACCATACAACAGATACAATTGAATAATTTTGAATGAATGAGTTAAAGTTGAAAACAAATAAAACAATATATTAAATAATAGCTGATAAGCCGGAAAAAATATTAATAACTTTATATTATATAAAAATTACATAAAAAAATTTAAATACTCATTTTATTTTTATTGTCAATTATGAATAAAAAAAATTAATATTAGTATAATTTATGAAAATTTAATTAATTTGTTTATTTGGTCTCATAAAGCGATAATAGTTGCCTAACAATATTGTTATTATCAACATTTAAATGCTCCTGATGTGTGATACTAACTCTAGATTTTTTTAATTAAATTAAATGATTTTGAGAAAAAAAAACAACAAAAATATTTATAATTATATATATATATAAGTAATTAATTAGTTGTTTTTATTATATAAAAATTAAAGTACAATACAATACTAATTAACAAAAAGTGATATAAACTTTAATAAAAGTTATACACAATGTGTTTAATTACACACTAAAAGTACAGTATATTCACTGTATATATACTGTGCCCTCTAGTGTGCTATTAATTAATAATTTTATATATTTTGCACTTTTATTAAAAAAATATTAAAAAAACAGTTTATTGTGAAAACCAACACTTTATTTGAAAAATAATATATAATACAAAAAAAAATTTAATATAAGTTTGAAATACAATATAATACAAAAAAAATTGTTTGAAAACAATAGCAAAAAAAATTGTTTTTTTTTGATAAACTTTTTTTTGTGTGAATTATTAAAACAACAAAACAATTGATTGATTGATTGACTTATAGTTTGTTTGTCTAGTTTTTTTTGAGGACATTTTATCGGCGGCGGCGACGGCGGGTATCGGGTGGCCGATAGCGGCGCAACACGTGTGGACATCATCGCTGGCCAACACACACACACAAGTAAACATCTGACCAATCGCGAGGACAGATAAGCAATCAACACGTGTGTAGTCACTGCACGCGCGCTATACTACTACTACTACTACAGGACTGGACATGTCGTTACCGACGGCGGCGATGACGACCACCACCGCAACAGCAACGACAACCGTATCGCAGCCAAACAAGTCGATTGGCCGCTTCGGCGACAGTCTTGTTCGGCAAATTGTCGGCCACTTATCGACCGAAGACCAGTTTCGATGCGAATGTCTGTCCCGACAGTTTCAGCGCTGTGTCTATCATAATGTAGTCGACATCGACGCCAATGTTATCAATCGGCTGAAAGTAGTGGCGGTCACTGCTGCAGCCAATCAGTCAACGGCGGCGGCCGCCGCAAAAAATAATGGCCAACATTTGAACGGCGACGGCGCCGCCGGAGGTTTATTCAGCAAAAACAACAACACTGCTGCCGCCACAGTTGTGTCCACTTTACCGAAAGCTGATCCCCAGCCGGAGTTATTGATGGTCATCGATGTCGTCAGTGGTGGTGGTGATCATACGGCTGCTGGAGGACAATCAACTGGTGTTAACTATCATCAACTGAATGGAACCGACGGCGGCGGCGACGGTGACGGCATTTCGGGACAACATCGGATGGTTGACGACCAGCATAACGACGAAGCAGACATTCAAATAGTACCGATCAGTAGTGAACCGATTGAATCGGTCACTAAAACGATTGATACCGCGACCGCTGCTAATAATAATAATAATAATAACAGTAATATAAATATTGCTAATCATTGTTATTATGACAAAGACGAAGAAGAATTGGCAGCGGCGGCCAAAATGGCCATCGATTCTGATGCCGAAGTTATCGATGATTTAGTTGCTGACGAGTCTCTTACTGTTACCACTACTACTACTACTATCGGTACTACTTCGGCGACGGCGTCTCTTATGGATTGTATGGATGACAACGAGTCGTCAACAGCCGATTTGTCGGCAGTTCTCTTACCCGAAGCATCCGAATGGACAATGAAAGATGATTCTCACGCATCTACTGATTGTTTGATGGTCACCGATAGTGATACAAAATCGGCCATCAATTTCGGGGAACAATCATCCAGTAGTAGTAGTAGTAATAATAATAGCCAAACAAGTACTGCCAATCTTGTTGTGCCGCCAAATGATGTAAAATCGGATCAACTTTTATTAGTGGACATCTATGAAGATAACGGCAGCGGCGGAGATAATAGCTTACAATTAGCGCCGGATAATATTGTGGCCAACAATCCACCCGCTGGTTGTGTCAAAAAAGTTGCCGACGGACGACAGTCACGCATAGACTTTCATAAGGAGACATCAACCGCCGCTATTGGACAACAACAACGAGAGGTGACCGCCAACGATACAGTAGACGCCTGCAAAATATCAGTTACGGAGGCGGCGGCGGTGGCGAAAACCAGTAGTGGACAGTCAATCAAACAACAAACTAACAACTGGTCGCTGATTCAGCGGCCAACAAAAGACTTGATTCTGGAACCGTTGCCGATCATGCATTTGGACAGATTGGCCACTTTGTTGCGCAAATGTCGGGCAATACGGGTAATCGATTTGAAACGACTGAAAGATTTTGCCAACATCGACTCGATTGTCGACACAATAGTGGCCAACTGTGCCCGAATCGAGCGTATTATACTATCGATTAACGATCGCCACTATCCAGCAGTGGCCAACTTTGAGTCCTATCGTAAACTATTTGAACATTTTGGACCCGACATTCACGCCATAACAATCTACGGTTGTTTTCCGTTTAGTTTGAAAAAAGCCGACAGAGATCGGCCACTATCGGTACTCAAACTGTGTCCGAATGTCCGCTGGTTTGACGGTAATTCAGCCTTAAATCTGTGCCATATCTATGCCGATAGTCAATGTTTTTTCGATCAACTGGAACGGCTGGCCATCAACTATAAGAACGGCGACATTCATATATTGAAAAAATATTTGAAAACCAACTCCGCGTCACTAAAGTATCTGAAACTGACAACCAATGGCAGCCTCACGCGGGTATTGTGCGGCCAAATCTCAGGACTGGCCAATTTGAGGCACCTCCTGATCGACAGCTACGCACAACATACACCCGAAATGGGTTTACCCGATATTCTCCGATCGGTAGCCACCGAATGCAAACAATTGATTGAATTGAATCTACATTTATCACTGAAATCCAAACTAATGGCCCGTCAGGTACTCGAATCGATGAAATACTACAAAAGTCTGAAACGACTGTCCCTTAGTCTATACTATTCGACATTATTTATCAGTAATGCCGGCAGTGTTGGCGATCTGACCGCCGACGACAGTGACCTACACTTTAAATGTAAACCATTGACTGCCTGTCGACAGTTAACACACTTGAAACTCATGGACATCGATGTTAACGATATATTTTTCTACAATATCGACAAACATTTACCAAAACTCAGGGATCTGCTGATCTATAGCTATCGGGCCAAAGATCTGATGACCGATCAAACGGTCAAACAGTTGGCCAAATTACCTCAATTGGAATCGATTTGTATTAGCGGATGTCAGGCCAAGATTACCGACCGGGCCGTAGAGGAATGGATCGGAAAATGTCCCCGATTGAAGACAATACTGTTGGGCGGTAAACGGTTTACTGGCCAGAGTAGTAGTAATACTAGTACCGGTAGTGCCAGTTATAGTGCCAAATAATTATATATATATATGTGCGGATAATATACCGTACCGTACAAATTATGAGTTCCTATTTAAATAATATTTACATTATATTTATATAAAATAAATATTTATTTATTTTTATATTAATAATTATACGATTTATAGGTATTTTTTTTAAAAAACAAATAATTAATTACCGATAATTTAGTTAATCAACAATTAGCGGTAATTGATTAACCACTTTATTGAATGATACTCTCATTGTTAATGTTATTATTATTGTTGTTAATGTTGTTGTTTTAGACAACTATTTAATTTTTTTATAATTGAATTGAATTGAAATCAATTTTGTTATTGTGATTTATAATAATAATAATAATATTAATTTGTATTATTATTATTATAATAATTTTTTAGATAATCAAATTTACTGCCAAATATTATACTATCAATATAATAGTAATTATTATTATTATTTATATCATTTTTTTACAATTTACGGTACTTATTTTTGGATAATAATAATAATTATTAATTAATTAATTAATTATGATTTAATAACAAATATTTAATTTTTTTTTGTATTATTTTATTATTTATTTAAGCAATTATTTCTATACATATTGTGATTGTTATAACTTTATTAGTGAGAATTTATTACTTAATTATAATTAATATGTATTTTTTTAAATTGAATTTAAATAAATAAAAAACTTTTTTAAAAAAATATTACGTAAATTATATACTAAAATATTAATACATTATTATAAAGACAATAATATATTATTAAAATCAAAAAAATTAAAACACTTACCGGTAATTATATTAGAAAATAATTAATTAATACTATTTGTATAAAAATATTGTTTACAAATAAATTTTTTTAATTATATATTTAATTAATTTAAATGTCTGCCATTAAAAATAAATAAATAAAATAATATTAAAGTTATTATTATTATTGATGATGATAAAATAATAATGTTTAATTTTTTACTAATGATAAAAAATGCTAAATTAATTACATTATGCACTTATTTAGTATTAATTGGTAAATATATTATATAATTTCAAATAATAATAATAATAATGTCATTAAATAAATTTAAAGTTTATTATTATTATTATTTTAATTTTTACGGAAAGTCCTATTATTTTTATTACTACCGATTATTACTACTACTACTACTACAGTAAACGGCAAAAAATTTATATTTAAAGCTCATATGAATAGAAAAAAATCAATGAAAGACACCGACGGCCGGATAGACAGCGTAGAAGAGTCGGGCCGTGAATATCACGATCACAATCTAGACATACCATACCAAGGCTATCGTAAGGCTGGCCACTATAACCCGCTGACCAAACAATTGAAACGCCAGAGCCAGCAGGTAGTAGTCAAACGGCGGCCGTCACTGTGGAACTGGTTGAAGGACTGGTGGTCAACAAAACGTATGGCTGATGACTGGTTGGACGATAGTAGGACTGGTAGTAGTTTTGGTTCACCAACAACAACACCAACAACAAAAACATTGTGGTTGAAGAGTATATTTAGAAGGAATAGGAATACCGGTAGTAATAATAATAATACTAGTTTTATGAGTTCCCTGGACCACATGTACGACCAGCCACCGAACATACCGTTACCATTACTAGAAGACAATGACATTGTTGCCGATGATAATGATTATTATAACGGTTGGTACAACTATCGGTCACCGCGGCGGCGGCGACGACGACGGCGACGCCCAGCACCTATAGGTAGACAACAATCGGCTGCACCGGTATTTTTTACCGGTAACCGGTTGCTGTCTAGGTATGTATTTTGTGAATATTACAGTATTTTTGTTCAATAATTATTTTTTTAATACATGTTTTTTTTATTTATTATAGATATCCATACTATAGTGATGGTACTGATGATGATGACGATAATAATAATAATGATAATTATAATGATAATAATTATAATTATAATTATAATTATTACTATTGAAAAAAATATAATATAAAATAAAAAAAATATAGTTAATATAATAAATATGTTTTAAAAAATAATTTTATTATCTAATAAACAATATTAATTATCAATATTAGTTTAATAGTGATTATTATTTTTTTTATAAACTAATATTTTTAAAATGTTAGTTTATATACTTAAAAAATAATAATAATAATATCATTAATGTCCAAAATCATATCTAATAGTATAATATTAAGCATATTTTGTATATTTATCTAGCAGGTAATTACAGGTAATATAAAAACAGGTTATAATAAAATTACGTTATCTATTGAAATATTTTATTATTTATTATTATTATAATTATGTTTCAATAGTTTTTTAATGTTTGATTTTTTTTTTAAATTTTAAAACGTGTTAAAATGTTTTGTTTCTAATTTTATATTATTTTTCTTCATAAAAATTATATATGTTATTATACATTGTATTATTTTTTTGTGTTAATTATATTAATAGTTTGATATTTTATTTTTTTTTTGTTATAAAAAAGTGCAATTATTTACAATTTATATATTAAATATATAATAATGTATGAAATATTTGAATCATTATGTGATTTAAGTCGATATGAATTATATTCAGCGATATATCAACTAAAACGTGAAGTCAATTGTTTAACAAATGATTTATTAAGATATCAATTGTTGACAAAAAAGTTGGAAAAATATCTGCAATTTATTCAAACAATTAGTAATACAATTGATAACACAATTATTGATAAAAATGAGATCAAACAGAGTATTAAATCACTGAATGATATCAACAGGTGTTTCGTGTCTTTGAATTTTATGAAACAATTGGATCACTTGATAGACACAAATGGTATTTATTTTTTAAAAAAAACAAAAGTTATTATTAATTATTGTTAATTTAGTTAAATATTATTTTTTTTATTATTATTTATAAATTTAGTGAACAAATCGGTACAAACGTGGACACAAACTGATGACAATATTAAACCTAAATCTATTGATAATACAAATAATTTGATTCAAAGTAATAATAATAATAGTTTCAATGATATTAAAGTTAATCACAATATTAAACAAGAAATATTAACTGGTATTATAAAAATGTTTATTATTTATATAAATATTATAATTATTCATAGTATTATAATTATATTTAAAAAAAAAAATATTTTATATTTAAGTCAAAACAGATGCAAAAATAGCAATTGATTGTAATATTGGTAATAAAAGTAATAATAATAATAATAATAATACAAGAGATGATAAAAAATTAATGATTAAACATAAACTGGACATTAGTTTGACTAACAATTCATCAATTGGTTGTCAAACAAGTAGTGATGATAATAATTGCAATAAAACTAATGCTATAAATAATAATAATAATACTAACAAATCAATTGGATGTCAAACACAATTGGATAGTCTATTACTAGACATGTGGACACAAACTTATGAATTTAATAATAATAATAATAATACAAATCAAAAAATATCATCAATTGATTTGCAAACAACTGATGATAATAATAATACCAATTATCATATCACTGATGCCAAACAATTGACAAACAATAATAATAATAATACTAATAATAAAGTTATAATTTATTTGGACAATAATATTACTGATAATGAAAACTATAAACCAGAAAATAAAGTCAATTTCAATCAATCAATTGTTCAACAAAGTAGTAGTAGTAGTGTTGGTGGTAATGATGAACAAGTGGTGGTAAATGTATCCGTAAATAATAAGAGGAAGAAAATTAATGATAATAATAATAATGAATTTAACTATATGTCCGATTGGTATAAGTATAGTAACAAAAATAATAATAACTAACGGTTCCCCACCAATGAACAAACCAGTCACTGATAATAGAGAGGAAAAAAATAGACACAAAATATTTGTTAAAAAAAAACGGGATCTGTAATGACTGACTGACTGACTGGTTGGTTGACTAACCAGTTCCCGGGTAGTGGACAACAATTTTTCGGTAAAATAAATAATACTAATAAAAATATATCATAAATAATAGCAATGGTGCAGTGACCACAAAAAAAAAATTACCGCCGCATTAATGATTATATCGATTGTAACAAAACTTTTAGAAATATATACTCACATAAGTTTTTATTTATTTTAAAAAAAAAAAAGTAAATCACAAAAAAAGTATTGTAACTATAATTTATAATACTGTATATTATAAACATAACTTACCTGTTGTAGTGGCACCGGTATGTTAGCTCAAACATTAATACTTAATTTATATTTGAAAATAAAATTATTATTATACTGTATATATGATAAACTTAGGTTAAATTGTTGTGATTTTTATAACTAAAAATTTTTAATACAAAACAAAGTTTCAAAAAAAAAAAATTATTATAATTAAAAAAATATTTTGTTTATTTACTATCTATTGATTGTTAGGTTTTTTTTTAATTAAAATTAATTTTCTAAATATTGTAAATATATTATACAGTATTATATTAATTATTATTATTATTATTACTAATAATAATATAAAATATTATGACGTTATCTATTGAAATATATGTTAATATAATAAAAAACAGCTGTATTTTTGTTTTGTTTTGAAAACATTTATTGAATTATTATTTTTAAAATATAAAATACATTTAAAATCTATAAATAAATAAATAGTATTAATAGTATTAATAATAATATCAATAATAATAATAATAATGCAATCAATTAGTGAATTGTTATGTGATTTAAGTCGATATGAATTATATTCAGCGATATATCGACTCAAACGTGAAGTCAATTGTTTGACAAATGATTTATTAAGATATCAATTGTTAACAAAAAAGTTGGAAAAATATCTGAAATTTATTGATACAATTGATGACACAATTATTGATGAAAATGAGATCAAACAGAGTATTAAATCACTGAATGATATCAACAGGTGTTCCGTGTCTTTGAATTTATTCAAACAATTGGATCACTTGATAGACACAAATGGTATATAAAAAAAATAATAAATAGTTATTAAAAGTTTTTAATAAAATTATATTTTGTTTTAACAAAAATAGTTAACAAATCAATTGGTTGTCAAACATCTTCATCAACAACACTATCGATGAATGTGTGGACACAAACTCAAGACATTATTAGTATTATTACATATAAATCAAGTGATTGTCAAACAAGTGATGATTTAAATGATAATTACAATCAAAATATTAACAAAACAATTGATGAAGTTTTAAGTGATAGTGATATCAATGACTGCGATATCAATAGTATTATCAGTTGTGAATCAATTGATGAAAATTGTGATAACAATAATGTAAATCAAACCATAAATGGTATTCAATATAATAACTATTATTAGTATTATTATTATTACTATAATTAAATTATAACTATTATTAAAACTTTTTATTTTATTAATCAGATTTTAAATCAAATGATAAACAAAATAATAATAATAATACTGAAGATATCAATCAACTGACTGATGTATCAGTGATACCTGTATTGTCTGCCAATGAATGTAATAATAATAATAATATTAGCGAAACAATTGCCGATAAAAATGTCGCAAACAATGTGGTCATCAATGAAGACAACAATAACAACAATATTCAGACAAATAAAGTGAACAATGATTTAAGTAATGATAATAATAGAGATATTAATGAAGACATTGATTGTCAATCAAATGGTAGCGAAACAGATGTATACAACAGTTGTGATGGTTTACAACAACAACAACAGAGTAATAGTAGTGATGAAGAAGTTAATGACAAGAAGAAAGTTAAACAAACAGTGAAGAAGAAAAAGAAGAAGAGAAGTACCGATAAAAAGGAAAAACTATTGAATATAACTGAATGCCGACAACCGGACGGTACATATCGGTGCCAATGGACGGACTGTATGCAAACATTTAGACAATTACAACATTTCAAACAACATTTGCATAGACATAGAGAGGGAACCTATAGGTGTGATTACGACGACGATTGTCAGTATATTACCGATAGTCCCCACCTTTTAAAAGCGCATCGATTGAGTCATATAAAGAAAACAAGTAATAAAATGAATAAAACAGTGATAAAGAAGACGAAGACGAAGAAGAAGAAGTTGAAGAAGAAAAAGTCAACGACAGCTGTTGTTATTAAGAAGCGAATCAAATCGGCTGATGAACTGAAAGCCATGGAATTGTTTGATACCGACAAATGTCGTCAACCGGATGGCCGTACCTATCGGTGTCCATGGGTTGGCTGTTCGAAACTATTGAACAGTTGTTCAGCGTTTCTTAAGCACCGACACCAACATTTGGGTACATTCAAGTGTCCGATCGATTCGTGCAATTTTATGGCCCAAAGTAACAGTCATTTGAAAGTACATCAAACGGTTCATTCGGATGATAAGCCATACGAGTGCCGGGATTGTCGTAAATGTTTTTCATCGAAACAACTGCTACATACTCATCGATTGACTAAACATCCCGATGCCTATCCCGACAAACCATATATGAATTGTCAGGAAACAGGTTGTACTTATCGGACAAAACTTTTGGGTGAATTTAATAAACATAAACGCGGACATAGTTTACCAATTGTTTGCGCTGATTGTGGTAAACGTTTTAAAAGCAATTATTTGCTTCGGTATCATCAAACCAAACACCAGTCTATCAGACAACACAAATGTCAAGTGTGTGGCAAACAGTTTAAGTCGATTAAAGCCCAGACACATCATTATAGCCTACATCACCAACAAATGGACTATACCTGTGATTACGATGGCTGTAACGAGACGTTTACTATTAAACATTTATATCTTAAACATCGGAAATCACATGTCAAGGACAACAACAATCCCCGTCCGCACGCCTGTGAGTGGCCGGGATGTGACCGTAGGTTTAAGTCAAACGCTGAGATGACTTACCACATGAATACACATTCGGGTGATATTGTCTACCGGTGCGAATGGCCTGAATGTAATAAGTCATTTATCATAAAATCATCGTATGATATGCATATGGCCCGACACCAGGGTAAAAATACCTACCGGTGCTCGTGGCCTGAATGTGATTACAGTACACAAAACACTGTTAGACTTAAAAGTCATATAATGAAACACAAGGGTATAGTAGTCGACGACAAATAGATATTAATAATTTACAATATTTTTTTATATTTTATATATTTGCTAATTTATAGTTAACGCGATAATAATAATACTTTACATTATTTAGTATTACTGTTAAATTTATTTTTAAAAAATAAAAATAAATAATTTATAAGTTTATTAAGTTTTTGTTTACTTAAACATAATCATCCAAAAGATATCAATTAAACCAATAAATATTACTGTTTTTTAAAATAAAATATATGTTTATTTTTTTAAAAAAAAGTTTAAAAAATATTTTAAATATAAATTAAATTACTTTTTTATTGGCTATTATTAATTAAACTTAGCTAGTATATTTAACTAAGTAATAAAATGCTAAAATTAATTAATTACAGTTTGTAATATATATTATTTTATTATTATAAACTAATTTTTTGTTTATTACTGTTAAGTTTTAATAAGTTTATTATAACATTATTATTATTAAAATTATATAATTAAATTAATTATTATCTAGTTAATAAAATTTAAGTATTATATAATTACAGTAAACTTATTTAATTAAATTTATTAGTTTTAGTCAAATATTAATGTAAACGTAATCTATTGATATGTAAATAAATATTATGTAATAATATTAATACTTGTATTAAATGTTTTTTTTAAATATTTTAAATTAAGTGATTATTAAGTAATAATAATATCAATAATAATAACAATGCAATCATTTAGTGAATTGTTATGTGATTTAAGTCGATATGAATTATATTCAGCGATATATCGACTCAAACGTGAAGTCAATTGTTTGACAAATGATTTATTAAGATATCAATTGTTAACAAAAAAATATGAAAAATATCTGCAATTTATTGATACAATTGATGACACAATTATTGATGAAAATGAGATCAAACAGAGTATTAAATCACTGAATGATATCAACAGGTGTTCCGTGTCTTTGGATTTATTGAAACAATTGTATCACTTGATGGACACAAACGGTATATAAAAACAAATAAAATAGTTATCAAAAGTTTTTAATAAATTTTTATTTTGTTTTTAAAAAATAGTCAACAAATCAATTGGTTGTCAAACATCTTCACTATCGATGAATGTGTGGACACAAACTCAAGACATTACACGATACACATCAAGTGATTGTCAAACAACTGATGATTTTATAGATAATTGCAATCAAAATATTAACAAAACAATTGATGAAGTTTTAAGTGATAGTGATATCAATGACTGCGATATCAATAGTATTATCAGTAATAGTGAATCAATTGATGAAAATTGTGATAACAATAATGTAAATCAAACCATAAATGGTATTCAATATTATAACTTATTATTATTAGTATTATTATAATTTTAACTTATTATCATTTAATTTATTTTTTTTCGATAACAAATTAGTTGATAATTTTGAAGATATTAACAATCAAAGAGATGACAAACAATTGACAAATAATGTTAACATTGATTTGGATGACAACAATGACAGTCATATTATTTGTGAATCAATAGTCGATGAAAATGTCGATAATATTGATATTAATAGTAGAGATGATAATCAATCTGATAATAATAAGAATGAAGACATCAATGAAGACATTAATTGTCAATCAAATGGTAGCGAAACTGAAGAATACAGTTGTGATGGTTTACAACAGAGTAGTAGTAGTAGTGATGAAGAATTGGTGGTAAAAGTTAGACAACAATCAGTGAAGAATAAAAAGAGTAAAACTGTGTTTAAATATCAATGCAATTTGAATGACTGTAACAAACGGTTCCGCAATGAATATATACTTAATAGACATAGAAATAGACATCAATTATTGGATAGGGATTTGAATACCAATACTATGGTCGACAACAATACGGGTGTCGACACTAAACAACAACTACAACAACATATCAGACAAAACAATCATCAAAGACGACGACGACAAGGAGGAGGAAGAAAGCCATTGAAGAATAATAAAGTAATTGATAGTAAAGTTAGACAATCAGTGAAACAGAAGATCAAGAAGAAAGTAAAGCGAATTCAATCCGAAGATGAACTGAAAGCCATGAAACTGTTTGACACCAAAAAATGCCGGCAAACTGATGGCACGTATCGGTGTCCATGGGATGGTTGTATGCGAACATTCGGGTCGTCATCAACCTTTCTCAGACATCGGCACTACCATTTAGGTACATACCGGTGCCCATTATCTGATTGTGGTTTTCTGGCCACTTGTTTTAGTCAATTAAGAATACATGAAACCATACACTCGTCGGACAAATCAGTTGAATGTCCGGATTGTACGAAATGTTTTTCATACGAAAATTTGTTAAAATCACATCAACTGGTAGTACATCCCGATGTCTATCCCGACATACCTTATCTGAAATGTCCAGAAACTGGTTGTACATATCGTACAAAACTGTTACGTTTACTAACAAAGCATAAAAAAGCTCATCTTATGCTATACTGCTGTACTGTTTGTGGCAAACGTTTCAGAGATAATACTCATCTGAAAGTACATCAATCTGTCCATCAGTCCGGCAAACAATACAAATGTAGTTTATGTGGCAAACAATTCAAAACACGGCTATACCTGACTAGACATCATCAGCTACACCATCAACTAATGGACTTTAACTGTGATTACGATGGCTGTAACGAATCGTTTACTATTAAACTAAAATATCTTCAACATCGGAAAACACACGACAAGGACAACCCCAATGTCGATCCCCGTCCTCACTGGTGTCAGTGGCCGGGATGTGATCGTAGGTTTAAGTCAAACGCTTCGATGACTTACCATATGAACACACATACGGGTGCTACTGTCTACCGGTGCTCGTGGCCTGATTGCGATAAAAGTTTTATCAATAAAGCATCGATTCAAGCGCATATGGCCCGACACCAGGGTAGAAGTATATACCGGTGCTCGTGGCCTGAATGCCATTACAGTTCAGCAAATAATATTAGATATAAAAGTCATATAATTAAGCACAAGGCTATCATTGCATAGCTATTACAATATATTTTTTTTTTGTTACATAAGTTTACATAATGTTTGAAATGTTATATCAAAAAAAATAAAAATAAATATTTTTAAGGTATACATTAAATTTATAGTATTATTATATTATCTTGATTATTATAGTAAAATTATATATATACTGTATATTAATAGCTCATATTTATTATGTATAAAGTTTTAATAATAATAAATTTTGATATTTTTTTATTTATGTAATTAATTGAAAACTGTATGAAAATTGTATATACATTATAAATATCTAATAAATAATTTTAATACTTAGAAAAAAAACTTTTTTTTTTTTAAATTATTATTAAAAAAGACGTTATCTATTGAAATAATGTTGAAATGTGTGGTAAATTTAAACGTTTATATATTGATTTTGTTTGAGAAATAGTTTTTCACTGTATTTATAATACATAATAATATCTGATATATTGTAGTAATAAAATACATTTACACTGTATTAATAATATACAGGTAATAATAATAATAATAACTACCTGTATATTACTTTTACAGTACATGTATATTATATTTAATAGTATTATACTGTAGACTAAAATTCAATAAATATCTGTATATTTTTCAAAACACGTGCTGTTATTACAGTATATTATAAACTATTGAAAAACATATGATAAACAAAAAAAAATTTTTTATATATATAAACAATTTGTTTGTTTGTTTGTTTATACAGTAGTTTTCAAATAGTTATTGCATAACAACATAAAAATAAATATATATTAATATTTAGCTATTAAGTAATTGATACTTAAATACAGTACTTAAATGTGTGAAACATTTGAATCGTTATGTGATTTAAGTCGATATGAATTATATTCAGCGATATATCGACTCAAACGTGAAGTCAATTGTTTGACAAATGATTTATTAAGATATCAGTTATTAACTGAAAATTATGAAAAATATATGCAATTTATTGATGATTCAAATGGCAATAATAAACTAACTATTGATTTAAATCAAATCAAACAAACTATTAAATCGTTGAATGATTTCAATAACAGCTGTTCCGTGTCTTTAGATTTAACTAAACAACAATCGGATCAATTGAATGGTAATATAGACATCAATGGTGGTAATCAATGATAATAATAATAATAATTTAAGATTTTTGTATTTTTTTTAATTAAAATTATTTTGTTTTTTTAAAAATATATTACAGAAGATAATAATAATAATAATTGCATTGAAACTACTAATGGTATGAAAATTAATAGTTTTTTAAAAAATATTATTTAAATATTATATAAATATATATAAAAACTAATAATAATATAATTCAAAAATTAGTTAACAAATCAATTGATGGCCAAACAAGTAGTGGTAATGATATTATAGGAGATAATAATAATAATAATAATAATAATAATTGTATTGAAACTACTAATGGTATGAAAATTAATAGTTTTTTTAAAAAAATTATTATTTAAAAATATATTTTTTAAATTTTTTTATAATTAATAATAATTCAAAAATTAGTTAACAAATCAATTGATGGCCAAACAAGTAGTGTTGAAAATATTAGTAAAGATAAGTGCATTGAAACTACTAATAATAGTCAACACTTGAATAATGGTATGAATGAAACTAATAGAAAAATTAATATTAAATTTATTATTTAAATATTATTTATTTATTTAAAAAAAAAATTATTATAATATTTTTTTAAATAGTTAATAACAATAAATCAATTGGTTGTCAAACACAACAATTGGATAGTCTATTATTGTTGGACACTTGGACACAAACTACTCATGAGTTAGTAGTTAATAGTTGTAAATCAATTGGTTTGCAAACCACTAGTAGTAGTAGTAGTAATGACCAACTTTTAAGCGATGATAAGTGTTGTAACAAACAATCGTCAAATAAAGTTATCATTAATTTGGATGCAAACGATAGCTATAACAACAACAACAACAGTGATGGTGTTGTTGCTGATGATGAAGAAGATGATGAAGAATTGATGGTTAATAATAGACAACGATCTTTGATTACTAATCAAAAGACAACTAAAATTGTCTATAAATTTCAATGCGATTGGTATGACTGTAACAAACGTTTTATCAATGGATATGTACTTAATAGACATAGAAATAGACATCAATTGGATAGGGATTTGAATGATAATAATAATAATAATAATGTCGACAACAATAGTGGTGTCACTAAACAACAACAACATATCATACAAAAAAGTCAAAGAACTGGAGGAAGAAGAGGTAGAAAACCATTGATGATGAAGAAGAAGACTAAAGTGATAGTTAAGAAATTAAGACAATCGACAACAACAACAACAAAAACATTGAATACGAAGACTAAAACCGGAAATAAATATCAGTGCGATTGGGATGACTGTACGAAACGGTTCCGCAATCAATACATACTTAGTATGCATAAAAATAAACACCAAAAGGATAGGGATTTGACTAACAATAGCGGTGTCACTAAACAACATATTACACAAACACTTATCGGTCGTCAAAGAGGTAGTAGAAAGACATTGAAGAATAAACTGAAAGACAAGAATCAATCGAAAGACAAGAATCAATCGAAAGACAAGAATCAATCGAAAGACAAGAATCAATCGAAAGACAAGAATCAATCGAAAGACAAGAATCAATCGAAAGACAAGAATCAATCGAAAGACAAGAATCAATCGAAAGACAAGAATCAATCGAAAGACAAGAATCAATCGAAAGACAAGAATCAATCGAAAGACAAGAATCAATCGAAAGACATGAATAAACTGAAAGACAAGAAACAAGTGAAACAAACAGTACTGAAGAAGAAGAAGAAGAAGAAGAAAAGTAACGAAAAATTAAAAGAATCGTCAATTGATTTCAGAAAACAAAGTAAACATACAAAACATTTGTATACAAAACAAACTGATGGCACGTATCGGTGCCAATGGGGTGATGGCTGTACGCAAACATTTACACATATACGACAAATTTATTTTCATCTGACTAAACATCGAGGAACCTATAGGTGCAATATCAACGACTGTACGTTTTCGGCCTGTGCTCCCAGTCAATTGAAATTACATCAATCGACACATGAATGTAATGGTAAAAACAAGATATTGAAGAGGAAGATGAAGAATCCATTGAAAGATAACAATAATAATAATAATAACAAGAAAAAAGTGAAGACAACTGTCTCTAAAACAACACCAACAACACTGTCCGTCAATCGTATGAAAGCCGCCGACAAATTGATTACAGCAGAAAAATGTCGCGAAACTGATGGCACCTATAGGTGTCCATGGGTTGGCTGTACGGAAACGTTTGGTACCAAACAGTTTCAATTGTTTCGCAAACACTATGGCAAACATCATCAGCAACTTGTTGTCTACAGGAACAGCTGCAGCAACAGTGATGATGATGATGACGCCGATGATGATGATTGTGAGACCAGTTTATTAGCTACCGATCCGGCATTAGTGAAATCATCAGCAAATGATCAGACAATGCAGATAACAAACAACACTACCATTACAGCCGTCGATGACGATGATTGCGGTGACAAGTCGTCGTACAAATGTGACGACTGTGACCCGAAACGGCTATTTTCGACCAGACATTTGCTAAATATGCACCGTTTGCTCGTACATCCAATCGACTCCTTAGACCACCAACACAACAACAACATCAACGGTGACTATATGATGATGAAATGTCCGGTAATTGGTTGCACCTATCAGACAAAACAGGCCCTACAACTCGATCGACACCAACGGATCCGACACCACAAACTCAAAACAACTCAATCCAGGCGACGACAAACAACTGGCAATAATAATAAGTTTGAATGCGATTATAAGGGTTGCAATAAAATGTTTTCGCGAAAACAACTATACGAACAGCACAGGCGTCGAGCACACGGTGGTACTGGTGGTGGCGGCGATGCTGACACACTCAAGCATAACAACTCGGGTAGGTTTGGCTGCCAATGGCCCGCTGGTTGTGACCAACGTTTTCCGACAAAACTCGAAATGTTGCGACACATGACCGTACATACGGGTGTCACTGTCTATCGGTGCCAGTGGCCCGACTGCGATAAGACATATCAACTAAATGGCAATTTAAGCAGACATATAGCCATCAAACATAAACAACAACAAAATGGTTAGCCATTACCGGTAGTCCAGTCCATGGATGGATAGGGGAGGGGACAGTAATGTTGCCTTAAAATACGATCAATTGATTGACTAAATATTATTATTATTATTCATTTAATCTGTTTTTTTATTGTACACAAACTTATCATTGTTTTTTAAATTGTTTTTTTTTTAAATAATATCAATCGTTTTAAATGTATTTTTTTTATTGTACACAAACTTATCATTGCTTTTAAATTGTTTTTTTTAAATAATATCAATCGTTTTAAATGTATTTTTTGTTGTTGTTGTACTGTTAGGACATTTACGGTTAATACTGTACTAAAAGATCTTAATTATAATTAATCTAAATATTTGTTACATTTTTTTTAATAAATATGTGAATATAAATAAAATTAATCCAATTTTTAAAAAAATTATTAGTAGTAATTAACAAAAAAAAAAATTAAAAAAATATATTATTATTACTTTTTTTTATTGTATACCTATATCTTTGGTCAATACTATTCAGGTATTACCGATTAGTGGCTAATATAATACAGTATATCAGCGCACAGTTAGCTTCAATTGAAACCAATACATAAAACCGCGAAGCGTTGTAAAACTAATAACAATCAACGCTACGGCTGTTATGATAAACACCGACGGGAATTGCTGAATAAAATGTCCCATAAAAAATGGCGGTATAAAATTGACTACACCCCAGGCCATCCATATGCCAGTGGCCATACGATCGGTAATCGGTACATACTGGCCAAAATAGGCCAACATCGACGGAAACAGTATGGATACACCAAACCCAGTAGCTATACAAACAATCCATACGCCGGTAACTGAATGTTGGACAGCAAACAGGCACAGGAAAGCTACCAGTGCTATTGTAAAGTGCAAGTGTATGATACAACCGGTCGACAGTACAAAACTGGCCAACAGTTCCAGCATATGGGCTACTGTATAGGTAGACGATATGGCCGATGTTACCGATGCGGCATCCGATGCCGTAAAGTGTACGGGTATGTACTGGAGATATGTGACGGTAAAGTCGGGCAACAGCGAGTCGATGGTATGGACAGAGCCGAGGCTAACGATTACCAGTGCCCGGGCTATGATGTCGAATCTGGTCAGCCGGTTGGCGGCGGCGGCTCCATCCGAATCTGCTGATTGTTGTTCAGCTGTTTCATCAATTTTGTAGATTTCTTGTGTGCGCCGGTAGGGCTTGATTTTGAACATTATAAGCATCAGTATAGGACCTGGAGGTTTAATGGGGGGTGGGGGTGGAGACATCAATTGGGTGGTTAGTTAGTCAGTTAGTCAATTGCATGGATATGATATAATATAACTGTCCAAATAATATATAGTTAGTTACCGATAACATGAATGCCAGCACTGATGATAAACGGCATAATCAGTTTGGCTCGCCTTTCGTCAACTGTTACCATATGGACTGCCGGTCCACTGGCACCGGTATATAACGTATAGTTATCATTAGTAGTAGTAGTACTAGTAGTCATAGCGGTATAGTTATAAAACACTGAACTATCGGTACTATGTTTTTGTTGGGACGACACTGGTTGGTGGTGTTGTTCGCCAGTCAGATACGGCCGATCCAATTGTTCGCCGCATACCTGTCCAATGCCGTGCATAAGCTGTGAAAATAGTAGCACTTTTACCGACTTGTCCTGCCACATTTCGATAAGCCAAACATTATAGGTGGCCAGCCAGGCACTGGCCGTTAGGCCCATAAAAAATGCGCAAACATACAGTTGCCATAGATGTACGCTAAACGGCATCATGGTGTTGGCCACATTCTGTACGATCAGTATGGCCACTACGGTAAACTGTCTGTTTACATACCGGTGCAATAGTCCTACTGATTTGGTTAGTTAGTTAGTAATTAAATTAAAATTATTAATATATATCGATTCAATTGTACTGTTTATATATTTATATAAAAGTATAATAACTACTGTACTAAACTAAATAGTAGTAATTATATAATTATAATATTGAATATAATTTGTTTATATATATATATATATAAACTATTAATTTTAATATTATTTATAGTATTTTTAGTTTGCTAGTTTAGTTTATCTAATAATAATTAACTAATTTAAAGTATAACTAAGTTTATTTTTATATAAAATATATGTACTTGATGATATTTTTCCCACAAAAAAATAAAAAATAAAATTAACTATAATTTAAAAAATAAACAATATTTTTTTTGTGGTACAACAATGTCATGTATACAATATGGGACAATAACCACTTACATAGTGTGCCGATTATGATGCCGGCCGATGTCAATGTGGGAACATAGGTCACCTGTTCCAGTGGTACGTCCAATATGTAGCTAAAGTCGACAAATGCTGGACCAGACAGTGCCTGCTTTAGACACTGAAACAAACAATTTTAACAAATAATTTTATAAATTATAGCCCAAAAAATTAAAAAAAATCAATAATAATAATAAGATAATTTTTATTGTGTATGCATATATTTTTATAAATTAAATATTTTATTTATTTATTTTTTTATATAAAAAAAATTATCAAGGTAAAACTTACAAATGCAAAATGTATGTACAATAATATTGATGTATATGTTAGCTTAGTATATCCTAAATCAGATAATTGTAATTTAAATTTTTGCCACCACTTCATCTTATTTTTTTTTTTTTAATAATATTTATTATTATTATTACTGTTTGATAATATAATAGTTAATCCAAAATTGATTATAAATAATTTTTTTAATAAATAAATATTTATTTTATTATGTTGTTTACATTATATGTCGAAAAATAATTTATAATTTAAAATATTAGAATTATTATTATTATTACTAAATCACATATTGTTTTATTCACTATAGTATATCAAAACTATTATTAATTAATATATAAATTTATATATATTTATAATAATACAGTAGTTTGCAAATCATACACAACATTAGTATTAATTTTTTTGTTGCTTATAATTAATTAGTCAACAATTATCATATGCTTGATAATGTATGAATTTTACTATTAGTTTTATCAATTACTAATACTAAATACTAATAATAATAATAACTTATTTGAATAACAAATAAAATGTTGTAATTATTAATTTATTTTATTGCAAATCACTGTTATGATAATATAATTTTTATATACTGGTATGTAATTCAAATTTCAGTACATTAAATAACTATAGTTAAAAAAAATTAATAAATAATCATATGATATTTGAAAATAATTATTATAATAATAATAATATTGAATAACTTTATACGATTAAATATTACATATTTTTAAAAATAAAATATATTCAATATATATATTTATTTGTTATTTTATTTTTTACTATTATTTTATTATTTTGATGAAACAAAAAACACATGTGAAAACAAATACTACCACAACTCAAAAAATAATAATAATTAATTATAATTTTCAAAATGAAATATCTATTAATAAATTAAAAAAAAACATTAGTTATTATTAATACAAATAACATAAATACTGTTAAATATATAGTGATATACTGTAAAAAAATTAAATATTATTGTATACAATATAATTTTAATGTCAATATTATAGATAATTTTAAAATGATATCTAAGTTTACACTTATCTTACTATTACTCTCACTCTCTCTCTCTCTCTCTCTCTCTCTCTCTCTCTCTCTCTCTCTCTCTCTCTCTCTCTCTCTCTCTCTCTCTCTCTCTCTCTCTCTCACACACACACACACACACACACACACACACACACACACACACACACGTACACAAACTAATGTAATATATAACAATGTGTATGCAAATAAATATGTCGGTAAAATTAAAAATAAAATATAAATAAAATTATTTAACAATTTACAACTGATCTGATTATTATTATTATTATTATTATTATTATTATTTATTTGATATAATGTTTTAATTATTAGATTTTTTTGTTGTTGAAAATATTTTATCAATTAATATATATGATAAGACAGTACGGTATAGTAATATATATATATATATATAAGATATAATATTTAATACAGTATTTTATTGTAAGTTGATAGATAATATGTATGTGCCTTATAATAAAATATGATAAATAAATTAATAAAAAGTAATTATCATTAATATTATTATTATTACTACAAGTATAGTTAACTACAGTATTAAATGATTTTTTTTTTAAATTCAATATTACTAACAATTCAATGATATAATTATCATTTTTATTTGAACTACCGTATAGTATTTTTTATGAGTATTTATCATAATTTTTTTTATCTATAATTTAATAATAATTATTATTATCATTATAACAAAAAAATGCACTAATAATTTATTAAATAATATATATTTAATATATTTAATTTTATAAACTGATATACAATATACTATATAATATATATATATAATATTAATAATTTTTATTTTAAACTAAATGAGTTTATTTAACTTTGCATGATGATGAAAAAATAATTACATAATAACATATGTATTTTCAATGTTTTTTATACTGTATATATGAAAAAAAATTAATTTAAAAAAATGTAAAATCAAGATTTTTTATATATATTATATTTTTGGGAAATTTTTAAAAAAAAGTTTTGTTACTAGGTTAGTTTTATTATTATCATAAAATTAAATTAATTTTTCTCACAAAAAAATAGCAATGTAATATTTTTTTATTATCAAAATATATTATTTTTTATCGAATAAATAAATAAATAAATTTTTTTTATACATTTATATTTTAATTAATATTTAAATAAATTATTTACTTATAATATATATATATTTTTTTGTTTTTTTTAAAATTATTTTTGTGTTTTTTAACACAATGTTTTTATTACTAATATCATCATCACTAAAACAGTTATCGCCATCAGTTTCAATTACTACTATAACTATTCAATTTCTAGCACTGTTAGCATTTACTACCTGTGCTATCACTACCAGTGCTTTTGATATTGACGATGATGATAATCCTACTAATACTATAAATAATAATAATAATAATGATAATAATCAGCAACAACAAAAATATCATGATAATAGTAAGTGTTATTTTTTTAAAAAAAATAAATTTAATAAATAATTACTAAAAAAAATTATACTAAAACTTAAATTAAAAAAAAAAAAGAGTTTATAGACAAATGTGTGGAAAGTATATACTATAAGTGCACCCATAGGTCTGAGTTTACCGATGATGAGTTGGACACTGTCCGCCTGTACATACAGAAGCGTTTTATGGATGCGGCTAACGGTAGTGGTGGTGGTCACCACCCTAACCATCATCATCAACATCATCAGCGGCCGCTACCACTACGGGCGCCCTGCAAACAGCTACACGTGCGCAAAGATTTCAAATGTCTCAGCCACGATGAACGCGTGCGAGTGATGCACGTATTTCGTATACTATACGACCAGGGTGTTATGGCCAGTATGGCCCAGATACATTCGCGCTACTGGGGCCGGACACACAAGTTTCAGGAGTTCATACCCTGGCATCGGTGGATTGCCGTAGAAATTGAACGCCAGATGCGCCTAATCTATCCGGATATTACACTACCCTACTGGGTATGTGCTGTGGGGTGGGGTGGGCTGGGATCTATCTATGTTTTGACCTTGATAATTTGATGTTATTTTTTATTAACCCCGATAGTCCAATTTTGATGAGTTTGATCAGCCGCACATGTCGATTGTCTGGGACTATGTAGGCCGGGCTGGTAATCGATTTAACAATCATTGTATACAGGATACGGTGTTTTTTGCTAACATGTCTATCAGCACCAGCACCACGACCATCACCAGTGCCGATGATGATGATGATGACAACAACAACAACGATCATCATCATCATCAGCACCACCACCACCAGTGTGTTAGGCGCCAGTGGATCCATGACCAGTACATTGCCAGCTGGAATCCTACGGAGTTTATCGACAGTATCCTACAAAAGGCCCGAACAATGGCGGACTGGTTTCGTTTGATGAATTCGCCACACTTTAAGGTACATAACAACATTGGCGGTTGGATGGGACACATGAGCAATACGGACGCACCGTACGAGTTAGTAGTAATTTATTTTTAAATTTGTGTGTGAGTGTGTGTGTGTATGTAAGTGTGTATATATATGTGTGTGTATGTGTTTGTAAATGTTTGTGTGTGTGTGTGTGTGTGTATTTAAGTGTTTGTGTGTATGTAAATGTGTGTGTATATGTAAGTGTGTGTGTGTGTTTGTGTGTGTATGTATGTGTGTGTATGTATGTGTGTGTATGTATGTGTGTGTATGTATGTGTATTAGTTTGTGTACAAAAACTACCTGTGCTATACCACCTATACTTACCTTGTATTCTATTAATATAAATTTATTTTATTTTTTTTGTAAAAAAAACTCTCAGTTTAATCTTCTATTTCTATCATCAATGGCTAACCGATGTTGTCTTCTATCGATGGCAACTACAATCCGATGACAATCTCGTACCCGAATCGTACAATTCGGGTCTCGTCTACGATTGGCTAACGGGTAACATACGTCGGGCCGATATTGAACGCGACCGACTGACCTACTATAACGTATCGGTAGCCGAAGTATTTCAAATAGGATTCGGCGATATGTGTTCAATAACCGACCAGAATGTTGAGGCCATTTTGGACTATATAGCTGGCCAACGGTCGCCAATACCCGAGAACTATCAATCGCTACCCGAATCGATGGTCAGGAAATATTATCCGCGATTTTGGGCCGATAACTATACGGCGCTGGACTTTGTACTGAAACCGGCAGCCAATTGTAACCGCCAGTGTCGGCCAGTAGTACATCCGCCAGATTTTGTGTCCACTCTGAACGGCCGACGGCTGTTGCGGTTGTTCAAGACCAGTGCCGGTCTGGATATTGTCGACAATGTCAAGGATATCGAGTACGAGCCCAACGAGTTTATAGCCGACCTGAACAGTGTTGGCTACTGTGCCCCACATATTATATCCTAAATAAAAATAATATATAATTTTTTTAAAGACTAAAATAAATTTAATTAATTAAAAAACTAACTAAAAAATGTTTTTTTTCTTATTGATTAATAATAATACAGGTAATCATAATAATAATAATAAATACCAGTCCTTCATCAGGTAAGCACCGGGATGTCTATAATAATAATAATAATGTCAATAATTATTTGATTTGAATAAAGTTTTTTTTTAAAATACATAGAAAAATAATTAATTGATTTAAAACATGTGTATTGATTTTGTGTCAACAACTACTTAAATGATTTATTTTTTTTTGTAACCTACCGTTCCTAACCTTTTACCTGACACACACACACACACACACAACTAACAGCATGTTTTTTTACACTAAATTATCTGGTTGATTACCTGGGTCACCATCATCACCATCATAACTATCATCGCGATTGTTGATAACGTCTATATCGGTCATGACTGTCCGGGTACGGCGTCGCCTACGAAATCGCCGAAACAATTGCCAGATAAACAACATTACCCAGAATACGGTCATACCGGCTAACGGTGCGTACGCATAGTCACGGGTTGCTGGTATTAGTGAAGCCAGCATACTGCCTACCAGACCAGTAGTTACACAGCCTAACAGTCCGCGGGTATTACGGCCTTCAGTCAACATCGATCGGAAGTGGTCGGCAAAAAA